AAATGGTGTTGGTCTCATTTTCGGCAAACACTCTGTATTTTCGAAAATTAACATTTCAAAACTACAAAATTGAAGAAATAGATTTTTACATTAAACAAAATAAGTTGTTGTGTTGATGTGAAAAATGTTGAAAAAAAATAAGCTCTTAAAGAACGGTTATGTATAATTTTTGGGAAAAAAGAGACGTGTTCGCGTAATTTGTGCTTAAAATTAATGCCATTTATAAAAACAGTTTCTCAAAAACCGCTCCAATTTTTCTTAAATTTTCCCTCCTCGATAAAAGAATGGCACAGTTCGCATTGTCGTTGTACACTCTGAATTTTCAAAAATTGCATATTTAGAAATAATGCGATAAAGTATGTGCTGTTGGGGGTTACTTGTCAATTGTGTGGTATAGGAGTGCATGATGGCAATTGCAGTGAGTTGAAAGATTCTGTAAGCTTAGTCATTCATTTCATAATTTAATTTTATCTTACGATATTGATCAAACAGTACTAGTCATACAAGATCCATTACAAATCCATAATGTCAATAAAGGATAATACAAAGCTAGTATTCTATTCGTATTATAAAATACGTACGTCCTATTCGGATTATAAAGGATTATAACGTTGCATGTAATTTGTAACTATCTGTGAAATTGAAATGACTCTTCCGAGAGCATATTCATCACTGAGCGTTTTTCTTTTTTCTTCTGACTGGAGCAAGTAATTTCAAGACTGAAGGCGCCTCCTTATACCCTCTCTTGGTGGAATGTCACCCTCAGTTTGTATTGATTTCTTCACTGCACTTCCAATAATATATTTGGTGGATTGATCTCGTTATATTAGGCTTTATTTTTAGGAGCATTAGTAATAGAGTTGTCTATATTTTGAATAGGGATTAACGCATTCACATATGAGGTTAAGTTTTGATAAAATATTTGTAAGGAGAAAATGAGACTTTCTTTAGGAAAAGTAAACGTGAGTGTGTGAAGTCACACATTTGTGAATGCAATTGAACGTCCAGCCTAAATTACTCGTTTAGTTAGATAAAAAATACATTTATCGTCGTTGTAACATATCCGTTCTCCGTCTATTTCACGGCATCGTGGTTTCAGACCTGCCGCATGTTGCGCGCCTCTATCTCTGCGAAAGGGAGTTGGAATGTAGACCTCCACCGGTTAACGCCTTCGGCAGTAAAACACTGCAGAAGTATTTTCATCGGTGCTAGAGGGGTTTTCTTTTTGGCACCCGGGGTGGCCCGTCACCTTTGCGCTCCTGGAGCGGTGCCATTGCCGCCTACATGACGAAGCAGTGTACAGGGTGAAAGTATTGATCACTCAAAGCGGCTATATTGGCTCTTTCAATCGGCCGAAAATGTGTTTTGAATAAATAACGTGCTTTATCAATTATGTTTTCATTAAAAGCGATTGTCTCACCATTTTACTTATTTATCTTCACACACACTCTCTTCTTTCCTCTCTCCGTCTCTCTCTTCTCTCTCCCCTCTCTAATTCTCTCTTTCTTCTTCTTCCCTCTCTCTTTCTCTCTCTCTCTCCTTCCTTTCTTCTTTCATCAACAACAGATTAAAATAAGTACTTATCCGTCCTATTGCAACTACAACTATGAAAAATAGGAGCCCGTGTTAAATTGTTTGCCCATTGTTGGCGTCCTACCTTTCCGGTATTTTGAGTACTCGCATAAGTTAGTTTCGTGAATAACTGAAAGGTATTTAATTTTCGTGAGGTATGATTGCTGATGTGCGTACGTCATGGTAGTTTCAATCGTTAAAGTAAACTATTTGAATCGCTGGTGAATGTATCTATTGATGGTGAAATGTATATTACCGCTTTGATAATATTAACTTCTTTGAGCATAATTAACAAAGATGAGTATGATAAGTATTTTGCAATTTTTTGTGGGTATTTTGTTATTTTAGAAAATTAAATGAAAAAAAATCAACAGTTTTGAGAAAATTTAAGTGTAATGTATCCTCAAAAATCAGAAAATTCCACAACTGTCAGATCGATTGCGAAATATCAATTTTGGCAAGAAAATAAAATTTCTTATAGGACATAACCTGAAAAAACATGCCATTCTCCAAGTGAGATTTCTCGAGAAATATTAGAACTTCTAAAAAATAAAGATAACATTTTTCGTAGGGTGTTTAAACTTCTTCAAATTTGAGTTTATGCTAAAGTTGATAATTTTGGTTTTGCGAGGGTTGATAATGATAACTTTGCTAGAGTCGATGACTTTTTGAGTTTTTTTTATTCAGACGCCTTTTGTCTGGATTTTGTCGAATTTATGACATGAACTCGCTTCCTATTCATCAGAACTTACAACAGTACTTTTCCCTAGACATCACTAAACAACAAAAACGAAAACGTCGGATTTATTTCGAGTAAAAACTAAAATTTGATTAGGTGCCCCTGCACTTTAGTGTAAGGAGGAAAAGTAAAAATAATGAGAGATGCGGAGGCGAGACATAAAGCAACACGGACGGAGAAGATGATTTGAGATCGACAGCCCAATTTATGAAAAAGGCATCGGTTGCTGAAAGGGAATAGTTGAAATAATATATATTTTGTAAAAGAGATGTGATGAGTAGACCTGGACATTTTAGGCACAAAAAGCGATGATTTAGGCACCTAAAATATGCAACAAAAATTCTGAAATTATTATTAGACAGTATTAGATATGAAAAGTGACTTTTTAGGCATTTACAATAGGTAATAAAATGATTAAACCAGGCAGTTAACAAACATAAGACATTAAAAGTTATATGTCTGACATATAAAACTGATACAAAAGATATAATTAGGCACTTTTTATTAATTAAAAAATTTAGGTATTTTTACATTAAGAAAGTGATTGTAATACTATTATTTTATTCACTTTTATTTATTTTCATTTCATTATTTCTTTCTTTCTTTCACTCTTTGATTCTCAATCGGTCAACAGCGCAGATACACCATGAATGGGTGCAATGCTTAAGAAGTGCGTACTGATCGGAGACGAGCGTGAAACATCATCTTTGAATTGACCTGCAGAGTATTATTATGTAAGTTGTGTTGGGTGAGATTTCGGTGCGTAGCCAATCAGGGAATGTTCGCGTTTCGGGAAAGTATTTGCATTTCGGAATAAATTTATGAAATAAGTAATTAAAATATGGTAATACTCATAAAAATATTAAAACAGGCACCAACCGCCCTTTTAGGATATTTTAAGCACTATTAGAAACTTTCAGTAGATCTATTTTTTTCATTATTTGTAAACACATCTGAAATTTCACAACCTCCTGAAGGAACTAAATAGGCATTTGTGCTAAAATCCTAGGTCTAGTGCTGAAGTTCAATCTGTGAGAATTCCACATTTAGGAACAAGGAAGTACCCAAGACGAGAATTAAGTTCAAGAAAAAAACTGGCATCAAATGTGGATGGAATAATATCCTTTCATAACAAGCGGAGGAAGTTCCCAGTATTAGCAAAACGTTCCCGGTTTAGTAACTAGTACAAGGTTAGAAGCCGAGTAGAGGTGGTGTCTATTTTAGTCATCATGTTGGAATTTGTAGTTTTCCTTTTCATTGCTGTTACGGTTATAAATTCATTTCAATTAAAACAATACAAAATTAATTAAGAAAAAATAATTCAAAAGAAGCTTGTTTTGGATATAATGTAGAGGGTTTACTCTTTGTTTCAACGCTTGATACAAACTAATTGGATAATATGTGAAATATGTAGCTCATAAAACGTCGGAATAACCTACAACTCCAATAGTTCTTCATGCAGTAATTCTTCTATTTAAAACACTTGCAGCGAAGGTGTACATGCTGATTATCCAAGTACGAAAAGCGCTTAGTTTTCTAGGAATAATTTTGGCGTATGATAACAAGTGTGTTAGTGTAATAGTGCAGGAATATTCTGTACATACTAGATTGAAAGTAATTTTCTACAATAACAGTTTAAATTACTGTTTAATATTTTCCCCCGTTACCATTTTTCACCGAGCCACTCCTGTACTAGTATTCTCTGAGTGCGATTATGAGTTTCAAAACGTACTTCCGGATAAAACTTCCAGGAATGTGAATTCAATAGTGTAAGTGCCAAAAACCGACCGACCTCGTTTCCTGTTGCATGGCTACACCTTGCAGCACGAAAGGACGACGCGCGCAATAAGAAACATCGCGAACATCATCTGACCAAAAATCTGAAAAATACT